AACCGGAGAACCGCTGAAGCGGCGTGAACGGTGGAGACGTGGCCTTCTGCGACCTGAGGCGACTCACCTGGAAACCCGACCCTCTTGCAGAGTCGTGCAAGGGGTCAAACAAATGGATGATGTTGTTCCTCTCAAACCAGTGTTTTTTCAAACATATGTTTTTTCTTTGTGAGCCATAGATTATATATATATACATATAGTCAGCTTGCAAAGTACCTTAGTGTGCATCTTTTTTCCTATATATATATATATGTGGGCCCACAAATAGCTGTTTGATGTTTTTTGAAGTCTCAAGGATCAAGTTCTACTGGACCTGCTACACATGTGCATGCGGACGAGTACGAACCAACAAAAATATACACAACCAAGTAAGATGCAAAGGTGAGTCAGTCAACCCATCTAGGGTTCATTTCATACCCGGATTCCGGATCAAATCGCTTGCGAAAAACTCATCACAACACACATAACCTCTTTTTTGGAGGACTAAACAGTTGGGCCAATCGGGTGCCTGTCAAACCCAGCAAAATATTTACATCTTGTTGAGTCGGATCCCACCTGAAAGCTCCGGCCTTGGTGAATTCGTGGTCAAATCGGGCTGTTTCACCGCAGAGTGGCATCCCACCGGAGAGGTGAATTCGCGGAGTTGGCCAGTGGGGAATGGAGTTTGTTGCGACTTGGCCGATGATCACTAGCTCTGGAAAGCCAGACTTTCCGTAAAGAAAACTGCAATCCTTTTGGGGGCCATGGCTTCGTTCCGTCTTGCTTCCCTGCCGTTAATTGGATAGGCATTCGCCAAAAAAAAGTTCTCTATGTTCTCCTAACACCTTGAATCTAAAAAGACCGTTATGTCAAAGTTCTGTCGCTGCTTTGCTGACGACTTGCCATAACCTCCGCCTTAACTCCAGGTTTTCTGTGGAACATTCACTAAGAATCGACATAGTCGGACTGAGACTTCATCCAATTCCCAAGTACGTGGAACTGTAACTTTGATGAACATTCACTTGAGCTAACATTGTTTCCTTATTACATACACTTTTAGTACATAGCATAGTACTGTGTTCGAGCTGAGTACTTGCTAGTTGTACTCTTGCCGGTCACTAGTGGAGATCAAATAGCCGGCTCGCATGGTCTTGGAACTTCTGAAATGGGTTTGTTTTGTTTTTTGCCCTGTTTTGGGTGCTGCTTCGACACGTTTGCCTCAGGGTTTCAAACGGACCTGGTAGATTTGGGAGCAGTGCCTCCCAAGGTTCCTTTTTGACCTGTTTTGAGGTGGCAAGGTTTCAAACGGACCCGGTCATTGCCGTACCTCCCAAGGTTCTGTATTGACATGGTTTGGGGCGCATGGTCTTTTTTGAACTGTTTCAGGCGCTATTGCGGCTCAGGGTTTCAAACGGACCTGGTAGATTTGGGGGCAACGCCTCCCAAGGTTCTTTTTTGACCTGTTTTGAGGTGCCAAGGTTTCAAACGGACCCGGTAAATTTGGGGGCCGTGCCTCCCAAGGTTCTTATTAACATGGTTTGGGGCGCAAGGTTCTTTTTTGCACTGTTTTGGGTGCTGCCATAGCAAACAGCCCTGTCACGGCCTTTAGCAAACCCGCCGCCCAAACAGCCCTGGCACCCAAACAGGTCAAAAAGAACCCCCACAGAGGTGCCCAAATAGCCTTGCCACGCCGCAAGTGGATAGACTTGCCATAGGGACGCACAGGCCGCAAGTGGAAGTTTTGCCGCAGGGGCCCTGCCCAACCAAACGGTACTGTTTGAAACCTTATACCCCGGAAGCAGTGCCAATTGAAACCCTATACCCCGGAAACAACTCTGAAAAAAAAAAAAAAACTTCCCAACCCAACGGTACTATTTGAAACCCTGTACCCCGGAAACAGATCCAAAAAAGAACCTACCGGGTACAAAAAAAACAGTCCTTCTGAAATTGTACCCTCGCACCTCCAGTATGCTGACCCCACAAACATTCCAAACACCCAAGGGGTCACCCAAGCATCAGAGTGACCAGATACAACAAAGACCTAGCAGCAAATGCACTCTTTTTATGGTCAGTGTTGGGACATGTTTTATGTTCTCTCTTTCAACACCACCCCCAAAAAATGTCATCAGAAAGAAGAACAACACAAAAACAACCGTCTTTCCTGCTCGGCCATGCGACTGCGAGGTCCTGCGGCCCGGTGCAGAGGCTCCGCTGCCTGGATCAGGCGTCACCGAAGGTTGGTCCCATTTGCTGATGTGAAGTTTGGGTCGGCGAGTCACCATTGATAATGAGATAAGTTACAATTAAAACAAGTATCTATTAATCTATTAATATACATATATTGAAATGTAATGTACTGTATATGACAAATTACATATAGTCTATAGTTATATACTACATTATACATATAGTAATATATAGTAATGATTGTTGATTATTGCTGGACGGAATGCAGTCAGTACCTGGATTGCTCATGACTCGTCCTCATATCCCTGGGTAGGTGGATTGGGGACAGAATGGCTACACAAGCCAAAATCCCGCATCTAAAAATCAAACATCTAAGCCTGATGACACGACACTTCACCAATGGTAATGATTAATTGTGTATATATTTATATATCTAGTAAGGGTTCTCCACTGCTGAGAGAATATCAGCCTAGGGTCTAGGGTCGCTCAAAACGAGACTAAAGCAGTACAGTATTTGTTGAAACACCACTTCACATCATGTCCTTCCCCATGGCACCCTCCCCTCTGCCAGCCTTTCCAAGGATCTCCTGGCGCGTCCATCCTCGTTGCTTCGCGCCCCTTGCTCTCACGGCGTGGGGCAGCGGCCTCCGTGGGGGGTGGGCGTCCAGGACACCGGGTCTAGCAGGGCTAGCCAGTCTATCCTTTTAGCGACCACATGTTTTTTAAAAAACAGAGAGACACCTAAACTTTACAGCAGTTTACAAACAAGCATCACGCCACGCAACACACATTGTTCATATCATTTTGCCCACACAGGAAAGTAGCCACCCTTTGACTTTGCGTATGTATGTTTATTGAACCAAATTCTATAGATCAGGGGTAATCATGGAAACGACTTGATACAAACAAAAAATGAAACAATTATATAGAATATATGATTGTATGATATAATATATACTTCTAGTGTATATATTATTTCAATTTAAACACTAAGAAAAACATATAAACTGGAGTTGACCTTACCGACTTCTCGCATTTGAAGCCATTTCCGAGACCCCTTGATTAACAACATATGTTGCTTAGGGGAGTTGCTGTACCCAATGTGGAACTTGGAAAACTGGATTCTCCTGGTATCAAGCCTACCCAAATCTTGTACCCAAGGCTGCATTCAAGGGCCCCAGAATCAAGTTTCGTGGGCACGGAGCATAAGAACATAAATGACAGGCGTGGGCGCTTTGAAGTCCAGCGATCATGTTGTTCTATCAGGGTTTATGAAGCTTGGTGTACCAATCGTTTCGATATGTTTTCTGGAATTCCGGGAATGGGCTCTCACCTAATGTGTTTTGACCGACAACTAACTCCTTCCGTTGAAACTATGGGTGTCCACTTGAAGCGGTTGCCTGCTACAGTGAAAAGTTTGGTTGGACTTCCACATCTTGAGAAGCCTCGCAGCAATACCCTGGTCCAATTCACGTTCCATTCCCGTTCCATGTTGTTCCGACATGTGAGATCATATCAATCATGGCAAGTAGAGTACATTTATCAATCAAGTTTGTTTGGATGAGAAGTCTGTCTTGGTCTTCGTGCATCTGCGAGCAAAGCATAGAGGTTGGCTCCGAACATGAAAGAACCGATGTCCGAAACTGGTTTTGAAGAAAAACTCTCGTTCCGGGATCACTTAAAAACAGGATTGGCTCCTGTAGTGTCTTGGTTATCTTGCTTTCGGACGACCACACTTCTCACAACCGTCAGCTGCGCGCAGGTCGCGTTTCTCCACCTCCCAAGGTGAAGATTTGCGTCCGGAGGTCGCAGGAGACGCCTCCCCCGGTGAGTCGATTCAGTCGATTCCAAACCCAAAAGGAGTTGTGGGGCCTGCAATGACACGGTGGCTTTCCCCCTGCGCAGCGGCGCAGCACGGAAGGTTCCGCGACGACCACGAAAGGAATGGACCTGTTCATCCTTCTGTCTAGGCCATGATCATGGCTTCGGGATGAGTTTGTGTTGCTTCAGAAGCGGATCGGTCTCTTTGGTCAACTGGTGGCGAACGGATAGCAATAGCAGTGACATGTGACACTTCTCTCGAACAGGTGCATTGCAATCAGGCAACATGACATTCCTCACAATTCACCCATGAAATACACATTGACCGACCCCTGAAACAATCCTAAGGTGACTAGGTGGGACAATATCTTGTGCAGAAGTTTTCAATGATAGCAACAGGTCCAACTCTTGCACAATACTTACTTTGGCGATTGGAGTGGACAGTGGACTCAAATCATATATATATATGTTATATATACATTATATATATATATGTTATATATATATAATAATACACATGTTGACAAAAGCCACCAAAAATGCAAGCCACGTCCAGAGATGAGCGGGGTACACAGGCGTTGAAGCAAATTGTCCCGGCTCCTGGCCATACTACTAGGAACAAGAAGCTACTAGGGGCTCCAGGCCTCGCTACTAGGAGCAAGGACGCTACTAGGGACTCCTGGCCTCACTACTAGGAGCAAGGACGCTACTAGGGGCTCCTGGCCTCGCTACTAGGAGCAAGGGCGCTACTAGGGGCTCCTGGCCATACTACTAGGAACAAGAAGCTACTAGGAACATGGACCCGTTGAAACCGAAGTTCTTCCATCTGGCAATGACAGGTCATCAGCCGAATGTTGCCCTGTCTTGTGTAAACATGTTTAAACAAGTGTCCAATGCAAAAGTATGCAAATGTAAACAGCGGACAACATGAATGCAGCATGTCAGGCAACAACTGAGAAGCAAAAAATAGAACAACAAAAAAAGATACGCACCCCCGCTGCCATGCAACATGTTTTGCTTGCAAAGTTCACTATGCCATGTCTTGCTGCCATCGCAAGCCTTGCAACTAAGTTGCCGGACCAGGCGTCCAAACTTGCGTGACCCAATCCCTGCTGCATGTGCACATGGCTGGACCAGGTGCCCAAACTGGTGCACACGCATGCAGTCTTGAAAGCTAAGAGCCAAACATAACAAACCTAGGAGTATCCTAGGAGTCACGTATATAGTACCGTCCTGCAAGGAGCACCTAGCATGCTCTTTGCAAGACGGCTTTGAGGGATAACTTGGAAACTAAGTGGGCACAAGGTACCCAACTGAAACACGGTGCGAGACTTTGCTCATTTTCAACATCTGGCACCGACATCAAGGAGTAGCAAGCACCATCTTGCAAGACCATCTTTGCTGCTCGGATCTAGTTGGATCTTTAAGCATGCTCTAGCATCTTGCAGCGAGCACCTGGTATGCTCTCCGCAAGAGGTAGCAAGACCTGAGGTATTATACCTGCAGGTGTCTAAGGAACTATGTGGGATCCTAAAGCAGAACTGTTTGGATCGCATCCTCGTCAATCTCCCAGCTGCTTGCTCGTTTCAAACAAGATTTTGAAGGTCTCCACTCCCTGAGTTCCTCCTGCGATTCAACGGATGATCGGGACATGAAACTCAAGGCACTGCGCAAACCCAAAGTCACACCGAAATCCTTCAATCCGCGTGGACGTTTGGCACCCGCTTCAAGGAGTATCTCTGCCATCTCCGTGTTGCCTGTTTGGTGGGCCACTTGCAGTGGAGAAAGTGCCTCAAAACGAACACTGCCATGAGAATCACAAGCTGGGCTATTAACATCGGAGAATCCATGTCTAGACAAGAATTCCTGCAGCTGCTCTCTTCGTTGCTGCTGGTACTCTGCTGGGTCAATCATAATCATCTGCACCATGATTCACACGTCAAAGATCTAAGCCGAGCAATCCCCCCTCTGTTTCTTGAGCCATAAATGGGGCAGAATGCTTGGGACGTGAAGTTGTGTAAGTATGTTTGTCTGCTATAAACCAAATGTTGTTCAAACCAAAACTTTTCCACTTGTACATCACAAGTCATCAGCCAAATGTTGCGCTTTATGATTTAGGGGTTGCCATTTGAGGCCGCTTTGCATCCCCCAGCAGAGTGCCTTCAGGATGGTTGCAGTGGGTCAAGCTTGCAGCTTAAGCTGTCCGTTTGTCCAAAACCAATAGGCTGTTTTTGGGTACCCGCCAGCCTGATCACATGGCAACGAGCCGATTCGCTATGTTCCTGCTAGGTGTCCTCACCAGCAAGCTTTCCAAGTTTTGGCCTGTGCATCGCCTGCTAGCCACCTTCTGTGATGCCTCGGGTGCCTCTGACTAAGCTACTTGAGGATCACTTTGCTTCGTATGATTTGCGGGTCTGTCGGCAACAGGTTTCGAGTCTTACAACGCGTGCGAGCATTGCCAGCTCGGCAATGCAGGGTATGTTGCCCCCCATCAAGGAGGCAAGGAGGTCCCCAAGGGGCCAGTTTATGATCGTTTACACTCCTACTCACTAACATGGAAGTGGAAAATGATGGGAAATGAGCTGTGAAAACCATTGTCCTTTACACACAGGTGGCCCATGTAACGTGAGTCGGAGGTTATATATGTTAGTGAGTCGGACCCACCGTCTTTTCCGTCTTTCGGCATCCGCGTCGAGATGCCGACGCTCGCATTCGGCGATGCTTCTTTCGGCCAACAGGAATCCCTGTGCCATCACAGCGCTATCAAGGTCGGGTTTGGTGTGTCAGACACTGGCTGCACCTAAAACGGCGATGAACACGCCCTTCCCTGCAATCCCAAAACAAGGAAGTCCGATCCGGTTCTGTCCCGTCTATGAATGTCCAGGACCACCCAGTGCACCAGCAGGGGACTGCATGCACACCGTACAGGACTGCACACAGTGTGGGCCCCTACTTGGTCAACTTTCGGCCTCCGTGTTTTCAGGAAAACTTGCTGGTCCTATCTGGACCTTTAGGTCTTTATGTTTCTTTTTTTCCAGACACTCCATGTGCAAGGCATCACAAGGCCATATTGACCTACATTGGGGTATATATGGGTATATTGGGGTGGTTTCAGGGGTCAGTGATAAAATTGCATGGAGTGACTCTGGGTAATTGTCAGAATTATGTCTTATTATTTTGAGCCGGTTCCACTTGTGACCCACCTGGGTGTTGGTGTATGTAAGCATGTCCATCTCCAACGGTCAATAAACCGCTTCCTTCGGGGTTGCGACATGTACGACCCATTCGTCGTGACATGAGGGTGGTCAAAAAAAAGCTTGCGCCTTTCCCAGACTCAAAGGACACGTACACCTGAAGATGCTCAGATAGTTCGAAGCACCCTTTCAACTTGTTTTTTCCCTGTTTTTCCTGTCTGGTATTTGTCATGCCGGGTATCGCGAGCCCCGTGACTGTGAAACTCTTGGATGATCTGAGAAGCCGTCTTTGATCCAAGCCATTCCGTCCCGGATCTTGACAGTTTCCCCATGTCATGGAGGAAAGACGGAGCCTGCCCCCAACCTCCCAAAGCCGATGAGGTCTCCTGCCTCAATGCCATGGGGCCGTGATGCCTTCTCTCGGCTCCTTGGAGCAAGAGCAATCCCCGATTGGCAACGATGAGTCTGGGATGCTTCTCGGCAACGCATGAGTACATGACTGTCTTCACATGTGTTTTTGTTGGTGTTTTTGGGTGTATCACAATAACATCAAACTCATTCAAACTCCCTGGGTGTGTCTTGAAACCGCCCAGGCCAACGGGCGCCAACGGGCCTAGGCCCCCAATGGCCAAAATCATCACTCGAGACTCCCGGCTGAAGTTCCTGAACCTTGGCGCACATCTCAAGATACCTCGGTAGCGGCACTGCCGGAATGAAAAAACAACACTGTGCTTGTGGAATGAGAAAGCAACACCAGTCACTGCCATGTTGACCCCGGCCCAAAACAGAACAAGGTCGCCAGCCACACACCGGTCTTCTCACTGGTCACGCCCCACATACCGGGCATCCTTGCTCGCGGTCAGGCTCGATGTGAACCTGCCGGGTCCATCGGTCCAGTGGTGTTGCCTTCGACTGGCCTTAAAAGTGGAGGTGGTGACCTGTGAAGTGGGGTGCTGGTATGGTAAAATATTAGGTCAACCTCATGATCAGAAGGGCAACCAAGGTTTTGTATCTATTTCTATCTGAATCCATGTGGTTTTGCCTTTCGTTAGATTCATTACGAGGAAGTTTCTGAACTTCATTCTAAACCAATCGGGCGGACCGAAAACACGGAAAATTCAAAAGTGCATGATTAGTTGCTGTCCTAGTAAGTGGCGGAGAAGTATGTTGAAAATAATGCTTGTACCGGAACACCAACTGGATGTGTGAGATTCATGTCCTTCGCTCCTGAATTGTTAGGGATACCTGAGCATGCAGTTGTATCCTAATCGGGATGTTCGGGATAGTCCAGCATAGTCCAGAACCTGACCAACACAGGAGCACATGGTACTGGGTCTTGGAGGCTGCTGCCCTCCAAAGAGGCTGAGGCCATTTTGCTTGGATCTACTGGCAGGAGTGGCATACCAAATGCATTTGTTTTCAGAATCCAGCAGAGAGTCAAGTTAAACCATGTCAAATCCAGACACTGACACCAAGCGTCCACGTTCATAATTGTCTTTAGGGTGTATCGCTTTCCACCTGTTCCTTTTCGCGGAAGAAAACCAATCCTCCCAAAAGGTTATTTGTATTACGGCCACATTCACTCGCACCCCTCAAAAAAGAAACACAACTTGCGGACAGTCTGTCGCGCCCACTTCCAGACGTCAATCTGGCGTACAGGGGGTTAGGTCTGCGATTTGTACAAAACACAATACTAGTATGATTGATTAACAATCAATATGGGTTGACTCGGACCAGCCTGCGGCGGCTCCGCAGCGATAGGCCGCATGGAGGGTCTGACGGGGACCTGATTGAGTCAGTGGTCAAAGCGGTCAAAGCAGCGGATTGCGGTGGAAAACCAAAAATGGCATCAAAACCATCGACCACTTCTTGATGTTTGGTGCCGAGTAGCATTCTGCACCATTTTCAGCTCCCAATCCCTGCCAAGAATAAGTTCCTTCATGTTCCTTCCAACAATCGTGCAAGTGGCCAATGGTTCCTCAGAAGTTGATTCCCTCAGTTTCCCTGGAAATATACAAAATATAGCTCTGGCTCTATCTCTCTTTACACCTGCAGTAGTGGACACGTCCCCAAGGTTTTGCAGCTGATCCACTCAACTCACTCCTTCTCATCCAAGTGGCAAGGCGAGTCCCCAGGACCGTCCACGGTTGGTGGGACGGTCAGAAGTTGGTTGAAGGATGTGCCCCCCCCCCATGGGTGTTTAGATAGATGCTACTAGCACAGTGCTACATTTACAGTAAGATGGTTTAAGTTTTAAGATCTATCCTAATGGAAAATTCAACCAGTTTTTTTTTTCACGGTGGAATGCCTTGGACATTCATTGGGAACACCAAGTCAAATGTCCTCAAAAAGGAGGAGTTCATCAGAATCACCTCACGTGTTCGCCAGGCATGCATTTTCGACGACAACAAATATACGACAGTGAATTCCTCTACGTGAAATTCCTTGAGACCCAAATCCGCCGGCGTATAGGGAATCACACTTTGATGGCATCCCGCCTCTTGCACAAAATGATGGAAATGGGGAACCACTATGACCTTACCCTCATTCTCCAAACACACAAACTCTGTTTCAGTGGCCGTGCTGGGGCGCACCCGCCACTCGAGAAGGCTGCTTGCGAAAGGCTCTGAAGGGCAAGCCATTGATGCGAAGCTCAAACTGGCCTTGGTGTCTGCTGATGAAACGAACGAGCACCCAGCAAAACCGGACAGCTGACTAAACCACCTAAGTTAGGCGACCTAACGCATGTGTTTGAGGATGTTGAGGGAGTCGCCCTTAGTTTGATTCGTCTTTGGAACCATAGCTGACCTACTCCAGGGTACATTGAATTCGATCCACAAGCATGCACATAAGTGCATGAACGTTTGTGAAGCTTCCAGGATCTGATTGGTCAAAATTAGTCCGCTGGATATCAATCAGAACCTTACACAAAAAAAGAAACTCAAGTCACAAAAGTTTGCGTCTCACACGAGCTAGAGATTGACACCGTTACATCTCCAGCAGGTGTTGTTGAGATTGGACCGAACGATGTTCGTTCCACTCATGAAACCCGCAACCTGGAGGGAAAAGCTCCTGAGTTGGTGGGTGGTGGGCTAGCGACAGCTAGTGATCATGGGCAGTAGTACGACCAGGCATGACCAGGCCAAGGCTAATTTCCCCAACATCCATGGAGTCCGTGACAACCATAAAGCACAACCCACTGAATCACTCACAAGTTCGCTCTTAAGCTGGAGTGCAAGCATACCATGGGATACGTCTCAGGCACACGCGGGCTTAACCAAAAACAAACCAAATTTTGGTCACTCCTTAGCTAAGGGTGATACCTTTTGGGGTTGAGTGGAAAAAGCAATTTGTGAACCAAAGCGGCTAATAAGGGTCAAGATGGGTCAACTACCAAAGAAGGCGGAATGCATCCAAGTGTCAATCCACCTGAGAAAACCGCTTCGGTTGCTGCTCGATCGCTGTGAAGAACACACACCGGAAACCAATGAAGATCAAATGGATTGGACTCCCAGCCCGGAACATTCCAAAGATAGATTCCAACAACTAAACCTTTCTTAAGCCATCCATCGTTTTGTATTGAGAACGCAACCCTGATCGGGGAACGCAACCTAACTGGCACTTCGCGACAACGAGGCGCACATGTTGTTAGTGTCTTACAATTTCCAAAACTACTTCGCTTTGGAGAGGCTGGATATGGCTGGATGTGTTAATAATTTCACACTTCCCTATTTTAACTTAGAACCTGAAAACTCAAAAGTGTGCACTAACACCACCTCAAACCACTATGTTCTGCCTGCCAGGTTAGTGTAAGTGATCTGACAGGGGTGCCAACACCTCCTACTAACATGGAAGGTGCACAAATGTGGCCATCTACAAGAATCACACTGACATGGAAGGCAAGAAATCAATTCAGCTCCAATGTTCCACTAACATGGAACTCTTGGAAGGGTTTCTGCTCCTAACAAGTCTTGCCTAACATAGCACCTGAGAATGCAGATCCTAAAGTTACACTAACATGGATGGAAAAAAAGTGTTTTGATTCTCAGCTTCTTGAGCAAAAAAGCGAATAGTAAAGCCTGACTCAAGGCACATGTTGTAAGTTTCAAGCGTTTGGTCAGAGGGAAATGTACATGTTTTGCTTCAACAGCGTCGACAGGATAATCTCTGAGGTGTTCTTGGCCGTATACATACATGTGCACGTACTCACAGACTCTCTCACTCAGCATCCTATGCCCATCTTTCTTTTGCTATGCAACAAAGTGATGGGGCAAGAAAGTCTTCAGACTTAACCATGTACGATCCAACAACTGTGTACCTGCAAGACTGCGGGTCTTCTTTCCATATGATTCTATTTCCTGTGTGAAGACTTTCGGTTGATGGGCAACACTCTCGCAAGGCAACTGTCTGCTTTCAGCAGCGAGCATCCGGACAAAATGCAGTTGCATAGCATGTGTAAGTAACGTTTGTCATTATCCCGGCCCCACCCCCCCACCCCATGTTCTCACCAAGGAAGTCAGTTCCAGTACAATTCAAGGTAAAGGTTGTTCCTAACAAAATGCCACCCCCCACCCCACCCCACGTTCTCACAAAGCAAGTCAGTTCCGCCTCATGTGCGTAGCTCTCCAGGAAAGCTCACAAATACTGTATGAATGTCGAGAAAGAACGAAACGCCAACAAGATCCAACAAGCCTTGGTCAATGTATATATATATATATTGGATGTTCATGCGGTTGAAAAAGGACATGCATGGGGACGGCAGTTTCTGACCTTCATAAGTCCCGGCCACCCCTTCCAAGCACCATGCGAACGAAGACCCTATCGGGGCCAATGACTCTGGAGAGAAGACCAGACCAGACCAGGCAGATTTGTGT